CAGAAATATATATTTTTTTATGTTGGTACACAATATATATCAACAAAACACTTTGTGCTAGATGTGATAAAATCCAAATCATAGAATAAATTAAATATATAAATAGTGATAATTTGTAATAAACAATGCTGCCACTTCTAAACAAATTACAATAATGAACAAAAGAACCCTTAAAGTGATTCAGCAGCGCAAAAAATAAATATGTATGTGAATAAATAAAAAATAAGAAATCATTCAACATCTATGAAAAATTAAATAAAATAAAAATAAAAGTCCAACAAAATTTCTTTTGCACCAAGTGAATCTTTTAATTCCCAAAAAAAGAAATCACCACGTGCAAAAAGATGGTGTCCCCCATTTCGGGTATGCACTCACCGGATAGCCATGCCCCCCATTCTCATGGTTGGCTAGAATCGCTTATAAACTGAATTCAAATGGGAAGGAAATCAACCAAAATTGATGTTGTTACACTTCTCTCTGTTTATCCTCCAATGTCCATGCTTGTCATTCCCATGATCAGCTGGCACCACTTCACAGGTTAACAGATTCCTAATAATGAGGAACCTATAGCAACATGGATAACACTCTCCTTCTCCTCCTTATTCATTCTCTCTCTCTCTCTCTCTCTCTCTCTCTCTCTCTCTCTCTCTCGTGAGATCTAAAGCACCTATGACTAAGTTGGATATGACAAAACGCGTCAGAGTGGGGCTGTGCGGTGACGGAATTGGAACCGGAAGTGACACGAGAGGTGAGAGCATTGCCTTGAGACCCACCAGTGTTTTAGATCTCACTGCAACACCTATGGGCTTTTTATCTGCTTATATTTTGTAAGTGGCTATCTTTATAGCGATTAAAGGTGTTATTGCATACTGCACCATTGGGTTATTTCTTTTTTGACCACCTATCCTGAGAAAGAGAGAATAAGGAGAAGGAGAGTGTTATCCATGTTGCTATAAGTTCCTCATTATTAGGAATCTGTTACCCTGTGAAGTGGTGTGAGCTGATCATGAGAATGACAAGCATGGAGATTGGAGGATAAACAGAGAGCAGTGTAACAACATCGATTTTGTGATTTCCTTCACAATTGGATTCACTTATAAGCAATTCTAGCCAACCATGAGAATAGGGGGGGGGGGGCATGGCTATCCGGTGAGTGCATACCTGAAAGGGGGGATGCCATCTTTTTGCAAAGGGGATTTCTTTTTTTGGGAATTAGATGATTCACTTGGTGGAAAAGACGTTTTGTTGGACTTTTATTTATATTTTTATTTTATTTAATTTTCACGGATGTTGAATGATTTCTTATTTTTTATTTATTCACATGCATATATATTTTTTGTGCTGCCGAATCACTTTGAGGGTTCTTTTGTTGATTATAGTACACAATATAGTTGTTACTTATCAGCCATGCGTCTTGTCTGAACAATTCCATATAACCCTTGTCACTTAAGATGTGCGGTCACTACAGGCGTATTTCCTTCTGAAAAGACTGTTATATATTACATTCCTGTTAGTAAAAATATTTTACAGAATAATATAAAAATATTATTTCAAATGATTCTATATTACTGTCAGTAATGTCACTTTCAGTCTGCTTCCTGAAGATGGCGCCCTTGTCATTTTAAACCACTCCAAGTATGATAAAACCACAACCAATATAAAATAACTCCTCTTCACCTCTCAGTTTGCACTTGCTCTCACACAAAACATCCCCACATTCCCAAGAACCCCAGGTAGTTACTATGACTAATAAAAGTCCAGTATTGCTCAAACTATGAACACTTGGTTCACAGTAGATTCCATATATACACCCCCTACAACAGTTCCTTCACTGCATAGATTGTAGAAAAAAGTAAGATCACATCGCTGTAACTTGTCATATGACTTGACAGATAAAGTTGCAGGAAAAGTCGCACCCTATTGCCGGCTATGGAACCGGTAAAATTGGTGCAACTCAATTGCACTCAACCAACTTTGAGCCTAGCCTCACACTACAGCGGTGCGGTAAATCCAATCCCATGTGATTCGCACAGGAACCGTACTGCATTCCTGTACAAATCACATGCAATTTGTGAGGAATAGAGTCGGATCGCATAGTTATTCACACCTATACGATCCGATTCTGCACATCGCACCGCGTTTTGTGGACTGATGTCAGGGTGTTGTTAACTTAACATACACACCCGCATCGGTTTGTATGAGTGGGGTGCGATTGTGATGCGGTGCGGAATTCGCACTGAAAACGCTGCGAATTCCGCACCACATCAGTGTGAACCAGGGCTTAAAAAGGTTCCTTCACTGTTTTTTGTGATTTCGCGTGCGACTTGCATTGACATCTGTGCATGAAGTTGCACTAATAGGCAGCTTTGAAATTGCGCTGAAGTAGTGCAATTCCAAAGTCGCATTTGGTGTGAACCAGGGCTTATTCCATTCACTTCCAATAAGAAACTCTAGAATAAGCCACAATTTTGGTCACACAATGCAGGTTAGCCCATGCAATAAAAATGAGGAAGTTAAAGGGTTAAGTTACTTGCCAGTACGCCTTGGCTTGTAAGCAGACCCAAGTTGCAGAGCGAAAGGGTCTCCCCAGGTGGTATTGATGTTAAAATGGGAGATGTCTTTAACTTAACTACTGAGGTCTGCTAGCCTGTTTTTAAAATGTCCCAGCAGGGGGGTGGCTCTGAGTAACTGACCAATACTCTGTTTAGGGAGGGATCGTCGGGTGGAACCCTAAATTAGAACCAACATCTTTCGTAATTCATATTTGGGTCTATAGCTTCTCAGCTGCACGAGCGATAGTCCCCTCGCAGGTATATTATTACACCGACAAGTCTGAGGATTATTTAGATATGAATTATGAAATTATATGCTGCACGGTTCATGAGATCTATGCTTCTGCTTCCCTGAGCGTGTGAGACAAATTGAGTTACCTATTAAACGATTCGCCTGCTCATTGTCCATCCGATGATATGTCCAGCTTTTATGTATGTCTCTCATATTCCAAGATTTGAGACATAGGATAAAAATTGATTTGAGGAATGTTCATTTAATTCTGTCACCTTTCGCTGCTAGGTTTTATGAGGTTACAATCTCTTTCAATTCCTGGGAAATCTGCCTTAACTCTGTTACGAGGTGAGAAATTACACAGGTTCTTGGGCAGAGAGGCTCTGTCTCTCTTGGGGGGCTTCTTAGCTCTGGGCCCCCTGCTGCTCTAGCCTGCCAGTGACCCACAACCAGATGTCGCTGTGGCTGAACAGAGAGGAAAGGGGGGAGGACGCAGGAAAATATATTTTAGGATGGTTAGTCCCTTCGCCAAGATGGAGGTTGAAACCAAAATGGTTGAACCGCGTCCATCTCTGATGCGTGCTTTTGCTACACATGTGATCAACATAGGGCCAATCGGCACTGTCCAGACAAAGGGTCAGAGGTTTCACATCCTCCTAGAGCAGAAAGAAAACTCTTCCTACAAGCTTTAACCAGTGCTCTGCTGAAGTCACAAGAGTGCTCTAACTGCTGATGAGAAAAGGTATTTAGCTGTTTATATAACATAGTTACATAGTTAGTCTGGCTGAAAAAAGACAAGAGTCCATCCAGTTCAACTATTAAAAAAAAAAAAAGTTATAATCCCACAGTTGATCCAGAGGAAGGCAAAAAAAACCCAGCAAATCATGATCCAGTTTGCTCCTGTAGGGAAAAAAATTCCTTCCTGATCCCCCGAGAGGCAATCGGATATTCCCTGGATCAACTTTACCTATAAATGTTAGTATCCAGTTATATTCTGTGTATCCAAGAAAGAATCCAGGTCTTTTTTAAAGCAATCCACTGAGCTGGCCAGAACCAACTCTTGAGGAAGTCTTTTCTACATTTTCACAGCTCTCACTGTGAAGAAACCTTTCCATGTATGGAGATTAAATTTCTTTTCCTCCAGATGTAAAGAGTGCCCACTTGTCCTCTGTTATGACCTCAGGGTGAATAGCTCTACACCGAGTTCACTATATGAACCACTGATGTATTTATACATGTTGATCATATCCCCCCTTAATCTCCTCTTCGCAAGAGAGAATAAATTCAGTTCCTCTAATCTTTCCTCATAGCTGAGCTCCTCCATTGCCTCTTATCAGTTTGGTTGCCCTTCACTACTTTCTCCAGTTCCCCATGTTCTTTTGTGGATTGGTGCTCAAAACTGAACTGCATATTCCAGATGAGGTTTTACTAATGATTTGTACAGGGGTAATAGGATATCTCTCTCTCTGGAGTTTATACCTCTTTTAATACATTAGAGGATTTTGCTCGCTTTAGAATCCACAGCTCGGCCTTGCATGCCATTATTAAGCTTGTGATCTACCAGAACTCCTAGATCCAGATCCTTCTCCCCCATTGATTCCCCCAGTTGTACTCCCCCTAGTATGTATGATGCATGCATATTCTTAGCCCCCAAGTGCCTAACCTTACATTTATCAACATTAAACCTCATTTGCCACATAGTTGCCCAATTACACAGTGCATTAAGGTCGGCTTGTAAGTTGAAGACATCCTGTAAGGACGATAACTAACGTTAATATTTACTAAAATAATTGCATTTCCATGTTGTTGCAGTGTGGGAGACTGAATATAGTGAATGCAGGGTCCTGGGTTTAGTATCACTTTAACTTGTTGCCGACCGCAGATAGCCGAATGATGGCTGCACTGCGGCTGGCCAGTTCTGAGTGGACGTCATATGACGTCCCCCCCCAGAACGCGCTCTCCTGCGCGCCTACGGACACAGCTGATCACAGTGATCATGTGATGTGGTAAAAGGCCAATCACAGCGGCCTTTTACCACGTGATCAGCGGTGTCCAATGACACGCTGATCAGAGGGAAATGCAAGTGCCGGTTCTCGGCTGCACTTTCCTCACGCTGTCAGATTGTGAGGAAAGTACTGCCGAGAACCGGCAGTTGTCAGAGCGGGGATCGGCACCGATCATCAGGGCACTGATGATCAGTGCCCTGATGATCGGTGCCCAGCAGTGCCACCCGCAAGTTCCGCCCACCTGTGCCCTGCAGTGCGCCCACTAGCTCCGCCCACCTGTGCCCAGCAGATCACCCACCTGTGCCCAGCAGTGCACCCACCTGTGCCACTCTGCAATTTCACACACCTGTGCCCAGCAGTGCCACCCACCTGTGCCCACCCACCTGTGCCACCCACCTGTGCCCACCCACCAGTGCTGCCCACCAGTGCCACCCACCAGTGCAGCCCAGCAGTGCTGCCAGTCAGTGCCACCAGTCAGTGCCCAGCGGTTGTGCCAATCAGTGCCGCTAGTCAGTGCCCAGCAGTGATGCCAGTCAGTGCCGTCTATCAGTACCCATCATCAGTGTCACCTATCAGTGCCGCCTATCAGTGCCGCATATTAGTGCCGCCTATCCGTGCCACCTCATTAGTGCTGCCTATCAGTGCCCTTTAGTGTGCTGCCTATCAGTGCCCATCAGTGCCGCCTACCAGTGCCCATCAGTGCTGCCTCATCAACGCACATCAGCGAAGGAGAAAAATTACCTGTTTGAAAAATTTTATAATAGAAACAAAGAAACTTTTTTTTTTTTTTTCAAATTTTTGGCAATTTTTTATTTATAGCGCAAAAAGTAAAGCGCCCAGTGGCGATTAAATACCACCAAAAGAAAGCTCTATTTGTGAGAAAAAAATGATCAAAATTTCATATGGGTACAATGTTGCATGACCGCGCAATTGTCAATCAAAGTGCGGCAGCGCTGAAAGCTGAAAATTGGCCTGGTAAATAAGGGGGTATAAGTGCCTGGTAGGCAAGTGGTTAAAGCAGAGTTCCACCCAAATAGGGAAGGTCCACTTGCCTGCCTCCCCTCCCCCTCCGCTGCCACATTTGGCACCTTTTGAGGGGGAGAGGGTACCTGGTTTTGAGAGGTGCCCACTCCCACTTCTGGCTCAGTTCACCGCAGTGAACTGACCTGGAATTTCAGCCCCTCTCCTTCCCCCTGCAGTCTTCTGGAACACTTCACCCCATGCACACCTGGAGTCCAGTAATGAAATGAGTATGTAGGTGTGGTTTAGAGCTACTATGATTGATAAAAAAACACTCAAATATTTTAAGATTACTGTTTATAAGAATCACTAGATGATGGGAACCATGCCGGTTCATGAGTGTACCATAAGTAGGTTCTTGAACAGGCAGGCTGTCCATCGCAGAACACCACGAAGGAGAGAGAACTGCTGCTCTCCAAAAAAAAACCCCATTGATGTACGCCTGAAGCTTGCCAAGGAACACCTTGGTAACCTCAATGCAGTTTTGTGGACTGAAAAAAACGAAAGTTGATTTGTTCTTGAAGAATACTTAGCACTATTTATAGCGCAAAAAGGGCACAGCTTTGGTGGTGGGAACATCATGAACCAGGCTTGCTTCGCTGCCTCAGGATCTGGACCATTTGTCATAGTCAAGGCAAAAGTGAATTCCAAAGTTTACCAAAATATCCTACAGGATAATGACAGAGTGGCTGTCCACCAGCTGAGGCTTAGTAGAAGTTTGGTGGTGCAGTAGGATAATGCATAGATGTAAATCCACCATGTACTGGCTTCAGAAAAAGAAAATGCACCTCAGTCAGAGCTCAGACCTTAACCCCATAGAGATGCTGTGGAATGAGCCGTTCACACCAGACATACTACAAATGTTTCTGATCCAAAGCAGTTTTGTAAAGCGCTTGCTGGAAGTCATTGCTGCCAAGGGAGGTTCAACCAGTTAACTCAAAAAGTTCACTTACTTTTTCCTCCAACACTGCGAATGTTTAATAGGTGTACTAAATAAAGACACGAGAAATTAGAATTGTTTGTGAGTTATCAGCTTAAATCAGACCTACACTGCATCTGAGCCAGGGACGGACTGACCATTCAAGCACTTAGGCACTGCCTGAGGGCCTGGGGTCAGTAGGGGGCCCCATGAAGTGCCCTTGGCACCTTTTATATGCTTTTTTGGGTGTGCTTTGAGTGTGGGCAAGGACACAGGGGCCTTATGATCCCCTATTGCCCGGAGGCCCCATGAGTTGTCAGTCCATCCCTGATCTGAGCACCACAAACCAAAAACATTATTTAATTAATTTTTAATGCTCAAACCAAAATCACCCATTCGTCTATGTCTCCATGCTTTATTTTGCTAAGAAATTAGTTTGAAAAACACCTCCTAACATTTATGGCTGTGGCCATCTTGAGTAAGGGCAGATGAATCATTTAGCATTTATTTCTTGGAATCAATCTACCCTTAGCCCAGACATGCAGGCAGAAGGGTGTGCTTAGCTGAGAAAACCCCTCCTCTCCTCCTGAAAACTCGGGATATATGACATCATTGCCTAGGCATGGAAAGCAGGAAGTAACTGAACAAATGTGAAGAAAAGAAGCAAATATGATATACTTTCCTATCTATTTACTAATGCTAGCAGTATAAGGATTAAAAATAGTCAATGTTGATTGAGAGAGTGAAGTTCTGCTTTATGCAGATTGGGGTTTATTTACTAAATCTGGAGAGTGCAACATCAGGATCATTTCTACATAGAAACCAATCAGCTTCCAGGTTTAATTGCTAAAGATTAATTGGATTGGCGTAGAAGCTGATTGGCTACCATGCACAGCTGCACCAGATTCTGAGTGCTCCCGTTTTAGTAAATCTACCCTATTGTGCTTGTCTATTGTTGTGACTTAGATGAGGATCAGATCACATTTTATGGCAAATGGCCATAGAAAACAAGTTATTTCCAAGGGTTCACATACTTTTTTCTTGCCACTATATTTACTTGTTTTTATATATACTTTTTTTAATTTCTTCAGTTGCTTCTGGTTTCTGGCCTAGGCCAAAATGATGTCATACATCCCAGGAGTCTTCAGGAGGGGAAGGGGGTTTGTCTCAGCTAAGCTTGAGCTAAGGGCAGATGGATTCCAGGAAGTAAATGTTACATGAATCATCTGTCCTTACTCAAAATGGCCATGGATAGATATGCTAGGGAGGTGTTTTTTAAAGTGATTTCTCAACAAAATAAAATATGGAGACATAGATTGGGTGAGTTTGCTGTGAACAATAAAAATGAATTAAACATGTTTTAAGTTTTTGATGCTCAGATACAGTTTAAATCTGCTTTACCCACTTCTTACCCAGCCTATTACAAAATGACAGCTGGGCGGGACTTTCGTAGTTCCGTGTGGACGTCATATCCTAGAATGCATCTCGTGCTGCTGCATTGCATGCACGATCTATCACTGGCTCTGTCCACCGGACATAGCCAATGACAGATCACTGTATCCACTTGCTGTTGGTACCATGTGATCACTGTGATCAATCACAGCAGATCACATGACAATTGTAATAAACAAATGGCTTTGATTCATGCCACTCATTGTGTACAATTGTGTTGCTAACTGCGATTGGATTGCAGTGATCCCATGGTACAGATAGGGCCAAACACAGCTAATCACAACAATACAAACTGAATTAATCTATATCGGTAAAAATGCTTGCTTATAGCAGTGAAATGATCTTCTATTAGCAATCATAATGTTTAACTACATGCCGCCCAGCCACTGTACATATACGGCGGCAGGGCGTCACTCGCAGGCAAAACCACGTTTTAAGACGTGTGTTTTGTAAACAAATAGGGGGTGCGTGCGAGGCGCGCCGCCGCCCTATCTGTCCTGAGGATCACCGCCGCAGATGTCAGTTGCCGGGTCACAGCCGCTCGTTAGCGGCTATGTTCCGGCGATCGGCGGCAAACGGTGACAGACAGCACAGCTGCAGTAGCTGTGCTGTCTGTCACTTCCCTGTCAGCTCGAGGATGAGCTGATCGAGAAAGAAGAGTTTCTCTTTCTCGATCAGCCTTGTCCAGTGCAGCACACACCCCCGCCCCCTAGTAAAACACTCCCCTCACTCCTATAACCCTTCCCTGAAAAATAAAGTTAACCCCTTCCTCCCCATTGCCATTAGTACAGTGTCAGTTTTTTTTTTTTTTTGCACTGATCACTGTATTAGTGTTTTTGGGGATGTCAGTGACCCCAAGTCAGTACCCCCCCAATGTCAGAATGTCCACTGCAGTGCTGCAGTCCCGCCATAAGTCGCTGGTCGCTGCCATAAGTCCCTGATCGCCGCCATAATTCGCTGATCGCCGCCATAAAAAAAAACTAAAAATCCCAGTATCTTTCCCGCCATTTGTAAACGCTATAACTTTCACGTAAACCAATTAATTTACACGTATTGGGTTTTTTTTTTAGCAAAGACATGTCGCAGAATGCATTTTGGCAGAAATGTATGACTAAATTTGATTTTTGCATTTTTTTTTTATGTTTTATAGCAAAAAGTCCAAAATATTGTTTTTTTTTCCTCAAAATTGTCAGCCTTTTTTTTTATAGCACAAATAATAAAAACCGCACAGGCGATCAAATACCACCAAAAGAAAGCTCAATTTGTGGGGGAAAAAAAAGGATGTAAATTTCATTTATGTACCGTATTGCATGACCGCGCAATTGTCCGTTAAACTAGTGCAGCGCTGTATAGCAGAAAAATGGCGTAAATTGCAGTATTTATACCATAGTTTGTAGACTCTATAACTTCCACACAAAGCAATCAATATACACTTATTGGGATTTTTTTTACCAAAAACATGTAGCAGAATACATTTTGGCCTAAATTTATAACCAACTTTGAGTTTACTATATATTTTTTATAGCTGAAAGTAAAAAATATTGTTTTTCTTCAAAATTTTTGGCATTTTTATGTTTATAGCGTGAAAAATAAAAAGCGCCCAGGTGATCAAATACCACCGAAAGAAAGCTCTATTTGTATGAAAAAAAGGACGTAAATTTCGTTTGGGTGCAGCATTGCATGACCGCGCAATTATCAGTTAAATTAGTGCAGCGCCGAGTAGCAAAAAGAGGCCTGGTCATTAAGGGGGGTAAATCCTCTGGAGCTCAAGTGGTTAAAAAAAAAAAAAAAAAAAAAAAAAAAAAAGTGTGTTTAAAAAAAATCTTTAAAAGTGAAAAAAAATAATATTTTTTTTGTTTAATTGAAATGAAATTAATTTTTAGTAAGTGTTCATAATCACTGTCATGCCAGTTAAATGATAACACTATATTTCACAGGTGATAGTATGTAAAAAAAAAAAAAACAATTGTCAAAAAAAATTTTATTTTCAATTGCTTAATTTTTCCAAAAAATTACAACTTCAAAAAATCGCCATACCTCTTACTAAATACCCTGAATTGTCTACTTTCCAAAAAGGGGTCATTTGGGGGATATCTGTACTGTATTGACATTTTTGGGCCTCAAGAAATTAGGCCATCAGTACATCAGGATTGTTTGTGAAATCTATAACTTTCCTACAAACTGAATAACACTGATTT